CGGCGGGCTGCGAGGAGCGCCCGGCCCGGCCCTGCCCGGCCCCGCCATGAACATCGACGTGGAGTTCCATATCCGCCACAACTACCCGTGGGGCCGCCTCCCCGCCAGCGTCAAGCAGGTACCACTACCCGGGGGCCGCGGTGGGGGGCAGGCCTGGGGCGCGGGGATGCCTCGGGGGCCTGGCCTCAAGGCTCCCAGGCGTGGGGCTGCCCACCCTCAGCGCCTGGAGACCGTCAGCTTCTGGCACCCAGCCTATGCATACTGCTCTGGGGCAGGCGTGAGGGAGCTGGGGGTTCACGGGGATGAAGTTGTAGAGCACCAGGTTTTCCCTCAGCTCCTTTGGTCGGAGGAGTTCTGCCTCCTGTCCAAGCAGTGGCTGGAAACATAAATCCTTTGCTGTGGGGGAAGGGTGCGGTGAGAGATACGAGCGGCGTCGGTTTTGGGGCAGGAGCAGGGGGAAGGATCTCGCAAGAGGTGTCAGGTCCGGATTCCTTGACTTGAGGCTCGAAGAGCTGGTTTGTACATCTCCTGTTCCTGCAGTGCGTGCGTGGGACCCCACGTACAGGTACTCATCACTTCATGTCGTCCAGTTTTGTTGTTACGTCGCTGATCTGTTTTAGGACGTGCTTGCTTAATGTCGCACGATGTTTGGCTATAACATGGTTTGGCTGCTGCCTGCTAGTGACGTGGTTGGGGTCGCTTAACATCATTACGCTTAATGTCGCATTTTTCAAGGACATCACTACGACATTAAGCGAGGAGTAACTGTACCAGCAAAAGAGCGTGGGAACCTGCATCCGGATGAAACTGGTTTAGTGTTAATTGACTGGTATTTAAATCATGGATGTGGATAAAAAATGCTTTTTAACAGGCTTTTTTGAGGACCAGCTGGAGCACCTCTGACTTCTTTACTGTTCATTCCATCCAGGAAGAGCATGCACCAACTGCACGTGCTGCTTCCTCAGCCTGATGAAGGGTATTTAAACCTGAAAGTTTGCTAAGAAGAATTTTTCCAGCTGTTTGAGTTGGTCTGTCTTTGAATGTTAGGAAGTTTCAAAGTTTGTTGTCTGTGAAAAGATGGCAGCCGGGACTTTCTCCACTCTTTGGATGCCTGTGAAGACCTGGAGACTGTACTGCAATGAAGTTCTCTTCCAATGGTCAAAACATAGAAAGAAATGTCCTTACTCTCAGAACAAGCTGTCCAAGGAAGTCAAGTAATCTCCTTCAGTTGAAGTTTCCAAGACGAGGCTGGATCAGGTTCTGTCTGGGATTGGTTAGGAGCAATGAATGCATCCTGCATCTATGAAGGGAGTTGGAATAGACCGGGCTGCTCAAACTCCAACCCAGGGGGCAAATGCAGCCTGTGGAGACATCACATCTGGCCTGTGGGGCTCGCCATGAGGCAGGAAACTTTGCCGCGGGGGAGTAGTAGTAATTGATACAGTTACTGCCCACCCTGCCAAATTGCCAAACCCCAGCTAGGCCACGCCCTCCCGTGCATCTGGATCCAGGCCAGGCCATGCCCTCGTGACCACCCATGGGATCTGGCCTGCAGACGGATGGGGCACTGCCCATCTGGCCTGCAGGGAGAGGAGTGTGAGTACCACTAGAGCAAATGGTGCTTAAAGTCCCTTCCAATACTGTAACTCTCTTGGGCATCCTGTAGCAAAAATCAGATTATTTACTGGAATTGGTTAAGTTCAGGTTGCAACAAATTGTTTTTTTGCAGTGAGGTGGGGGCGGTGAATCAAAGCTTTTAAAAAGTCATCTATACAGAATTGGTTTTACAACTTGCATTTGAAGCATTTTTCAAACATTTATTGAAAAGAATACAGCAAAATTTAGAACAGTTTAATATAACTGGTTCAACCACTTTACTATTTTCTAACCACTTCCTAGAATTTTAGTAAGTTCAGATTCCTCAATGACTTTTGCTATAAGATAGGATAATAAGACAAGGGGCAAAACAAAGGAAGTAGTAGTATCTTGAAAAATCTCACAGGAGTATTGTCAGTTGAAGAAATTAAAACTAAATAAGAGCATGTAAATAAACCCATTGACAGTAAGAAAGAAGAATGGTCTTGTGGTTATCTTTAGCTTAGGGTCATAAAAGACCTGCATTCATTTCTTGGGTTTGCCACATCTCTCTGACATGAGGCAAGTCTTACTCTATCCTCTGCTTCAGTTAACCTATTTGTAAATGGATAGCAGTTCAGTATATTACAGGGCCAGTATGAGAATAAAATATAGTAGTGATTGTGAGGTGCTCTGATACTGTGATAAGATTTGGAAGAATCTGCTAGGCATCTTTATCCAGAAATATGTACAAAAGTATGTGTGGGAGAAGCGGGGGTAGGGGATGTCAGCAAGTAAATGTGACAGCCTGCTGAGAATCTCAGGTCTGCTGCGGGGAAGAATGCCAGGATTTGCCCCTAGTTGCTGCTGGGAGTTTAGTTTCATCGTTCATTCACGTTGTACAAAAAGATGCATCAGTCTGGTTAATGCACGTCTGATATGTGGCAGGGGATCTGTGTTTCTTACAGCATTTTTCTCTAACCTATAGTTGGTGCCCTGTTGTCTAGTTTGTTTTCATTTTGTTGTCATCCTTTATTTCAAATAACCATAGTTGTTCTGCTGCTCTTCACTGGCTTTCCCAGCATTCTCCTAGCAATATGGAAAGGATATAATTCTTGACAGAAACCTTGGCCAGAGCTCTGCTGTTGCTTGGTGTGGAAGCAAGTCTACTGATGATGCATCACTGGGAAATTTGTAAAGACTGGTAGAAGATGGGGAAAGCAGTGTTGCATCTGTTTTACATTTGGCTTGGTGTTGAAAGCATGAGGAACTTGGGTTCTAATTTTGCAATCAGTTCTGTGTGTGGATGGAGTCCTCTGTCTACATGGTGTTGGTATAAAGCTTGTGCAGATCCAGACATGTAGTTTCAAATAAATTGGGACCTTAATTTATTATTGAGCAAATGAAAGTCTTAACGTTTGTAGAAACCGATTCTTTTGACCTCCAAACTTCTTGGGGAACCTTCTTACTTGACATCAGTGTATAGAATGTTCACATTCAGAGTTGCCTTAGTTTCCTGAAACCTGGCTAACCTGCTCTTACACAAAATTTCACAGGTTTGACCTAAGGCAAGCCCAACATGCTGACATTTAAGATGCTGAATACATTCTACTGAAATGGTTAATGCTTCACAGGGTGCTTAGTCATGCATCACAGGGTGCTTAGTGGGCCATCAAACTATTTCTGGGATCTGATATTCCTTTTTGATGAGTATGGTGGGGAAAGAACATCTATAAAGGCACAACTTAAAATATTCAACATGAATTCAGCTGGATTGTGTAAGAGTAGGTATATTTTTGTAACAGCTAAGAATTCAGTAACTTACATTTTTAGTGTATCTCTCTGGTACCGGTGGCTTGACTAAAAGGACTTATATTTCCTAGGGTCTTGGAAACTCTCAGAAGGAATATGAAAAGCAGGTTGTACTCTATAGTATTCGCAATCAGCTACGATTCCGAAATAATTTAGGTGAGTATGGTAGTATAACAACTTCAGATAGATACTCGTTCTACTCCGTACTTATTTCCATGCTTTTAGAAGCTATTAAAGATCACAAGATGTATGTCACTGAAAACTGTGGCCCTGTAAGAACCAACCTTGTATTGGAGTTTTAATGGAAGAGTTAAGTAACAGCATGGCCCTAAAAGAATGCCTCCCACTAGAAAAAGCCCAGAGATGCACAGGAGAGAGAATTCCATGCTTCTAAACCCCTTGAACAATCATTTCTGGGCTATTTGGTTCATGCTGTTTTAGAATTCCCATTGGCTTTGTGCTCACTTGATTCACTTTCTCCTTTTTTAATGGGTAAAACTTCCACAGCTGGAAAGATGTTTTGCTGGCATCTCCATTTACCTAGTTTATTTTATCCTCTCTGGGATTTGTTTGCAGTGGAGTAGCATGCTTTCTGCTGAAATTGGATCTGTAGGAAAATGAACTGTAGGCTAATTCTATTTTTGCAGAGTATACAGAATTGTTTTTTGCAGTATAATCTTTAAAGTCAACTAAAATATAACAATAAATTATTATCCTTGGGTGCTCAGCATTTTCTTTGGAAATTTTACTCACGATAGGGTCAGTTATTAAATTCATATAACAATCTCCCATTTCAGCCTGATCTTGAAGTTCTGTGCAGCCATGGTTCTTACAGAAGTTAATGAGGGTTGTGGTTGCTTAGCACGTCTTCAGTTAATGTAATACCATTTGAGACAACAAGGTGGAAGATTAATATGTATCATTTTTTTTTTAGTTAAGCATGTAAAGAAAGATGAACGCAAGTACTATGAGGATCTGTTAAAATACAGTAGAGATCATCTCATGTTGTATCCTTATCATTTGTCTGACATCATGGTGAAAGGTCTGAGGATAACACCATTTTCTTATTACACAGGAATAATGGAGGTGAGTCTGGGGACATAGTTAAAACAAAACTTTTAGTAGAGATGCACTGAAAAAGGTTTGGGCCAATACCGGTGGGCAATTTATTAACCAGCCATATTGCTGATACCCCACCCCCCGGCCCCCTGACAAATCACAGCTCCATCTTGCACCCTGCTCTGGCTGTGCCCCTGCCCCAGCCATACTCTCTCTTCCTCATCATGGGTACTTCTATCTGCGTGCGCCCACCACTAACTTACTGGCTGGACACTGCTCTGCCAGCTGCTGGGCTGCATGCATGCATGTGGCATTTATTGGTGACATTATCGCCTATATCAGCCAAAAAAGCCAATTGCTGATGATGTCAATTTTTAGAGGTGCGCCGATACATCAGTCTCGTAACGGATCAGCACTGATATAGGGAAAATTGACAGTATTGAAATTTTTTTTTTTTTGCCTGATGTGGCCAATAAATTGCCTGTGCATGCACGCAGCTGTAGCACGTACACGGAGAGGAGCACAGCCCAGTTGCTTGGAGAGCAGTATGTGGCTGTTAAGTCGGGG